CCTGCTGCTCTGCCTGTGATTGCCCTCACTGCAGAGAGGCCTGGGATCAGTGGCAAGAGTAAGCATAGGTAGCTTGGGCATCCTAGGAGGCAGAGATTTGTGGCCTACAGCAGGAAGCCAGGTCACAAGATCCAGCCCATGGAAGCTGCAAAAGGTCGACAACCTTTGTGCTAGAGAGGATGCCCTAACTTACTTTAGTTGGCTTATTATGAGAGTTCCTGTCCTTCATGAACCTTCTACATTAATTGGGGTCTCTTAGGCCATATTCCTGGTACAAGGAGTCTCATCAGATTTGACAGGTATTGATAGCCAGCTCTCTGCATGCTATGACACCTATATAAAGCTGTCTAGACCAGTGGTTCTCTGGTCTAGACAGAGAAAAAATAAATCAAGTGCAGGGCCAAGTACAGATATTTTCGATTGTTCTGCAACCTTTCTGTGGACTGCCTGAATGGACTGCCAGTAGTGGTCCGCGAACCAGTTTGAGAACCTCTGGTCTAGACTGTTCAACCTAGTAGAGCTTCTAAGTGAATAATTCAGTTCTTGCTAATGATGAATGAATGAGCTTCCTGAGGGCAGGAAGGGGTGTTTGGGCTCAGAAGAGCATCCTATGGCCCAAAGGATGTTGAAGGTTCTGGAAGTCTCAGAACAATAAGGCCTCTCATTCCTTCTATCATGTGCATGGGGAAGCTGGGGTCCTAGCAATCTGTCTGATTGCCAGTGCACTTGCCATTGAGCCTGGGACTTGGCTGATGCACTTAAACTAGGTGGAGCCTTGTTGTTGTCTGTCTCCCAGGAGTGCTAGATATAACTCTACACTTGTGTATATAAGGAGATCTATAAGAAGAAAGGGGGAATACTCCAGTCCCCCCTCTTTTCTGTCCTGTCTCTATCAGTTAAGTTGCTCACCTCGTCCCTTCCCAGAATCAAACTTTGTTTGCCTCTTACGGCAAGGGCTGGCAACCTTTTCAAGCCATGGGCCACAACAACCCAGCTCCAGTCCAGTGCAGGCTTGGTGGCTTTGGTGGCACATCTGCAGCAAGAGGGTTTGCTTGAACCTGTGCCAGGGCCAGGCAGCTGGGAGCTGCATTAGCTCTAATGCTGCTTATCCCAAGCCCTACTCCCCAGCAGGGATTCAAGTGCAGCTTCCAGCTGGACAGGGACTGCGCTGTAGGGCTGTGCAAAGCTTTGGTTGCTGATTTGATTCGGCAGAGATTGAGTCTGATTCGAGGCTGAATCTCCGAATCCAAATCAAATCAGGAGACCCTTTAATCTCTTCCAATAAAATCAGAACCCTCCAAATCGATTTGGAGAGATTTGATGATTTGGACATAGACACAGCTTTAAATGTTTTTTCTACATACCTCAGGGTACCAGGCAGCTTGTGAATGCTGAGATGCCGGGACGGGTGGAGCATCCCATGGGAGCGTGGGGGAGTCCCCCACATACTCAACAGTGGACCCGGAAGTGGACCAGAAGCACTTCTGGTCCATTTCTGGCTTCACCTGGGAGTGTGCAGGGTATCCCCTGCCCCCCTGCCTTGGAGAGTAGTGCCTTCTGGGTCTGGAGGGGCACCCCGGTTCCCCTCACAGCTGATCGCTGAGCCAGAGGGGGGTGGGGGGGAGGGGTCCCCTGTGCACTTGGCAGTGAACCCAGAAGTGGACTGGAAGTAGTTCTAGTCCACTTCCGGGTGCACCACCGACCACGTGGGCCCCCCCCCCTCTCCTTTAGGACACTTAATCCACCCCACCATCGCAGCGTTCACAAGCCACGCCTGGTACCTCGAGGTATGTAGAAAAAACATTTAAAGCTGTGTCTATGGCCAAATCGCTGATTCTCCGAATCAGCATCGAATCTTCAGATTTGGATTCGGCTGAATCAAATCAGGACAGTGATCCAAATCAACTAATCGAATCACTGTCCCCGATTCAGGCTGAATCTGAATCGAATATGGCCCATTTCGCACACCCCTACTGTGCTATAATCAGACAGCTGGGAAGCGCATTCTCACTGCTGCTTCTCCCCACCCTGTCCCACTCCCTGGCTGCAGCACCAGTGCAGCTTCCAGCTGCTGGGGAACTGGGCTGGGGCCAGGCAACTTGAATCTGCATTCTCATTGCTTCCCCAATTCCTGGCTAAAGTACAGGCACAGCCAAAAGTTATTCATCAACTAGAATTTGTGCCTACACTGCAGCTGGGGAGCAGGGAGCAAAGAGAAGCAGTAGCAATGCGGGCACAGCTTCCAGATGCTCAGTCCCAACATGGAATGGGCAGAGGCAAAACCTTCTGGCTCCACAGGCTGGAAACGGTAGCTCCATGGGCCAGCCCAGCCTGCAGGCTGTATGTTGATAACCCCTGTCCTAACAAGTGCAGGAGATAGATGTCAGACTTAAGTGTATCTATGAATGCTCAGGAAGGAATCCTGCTTAGTTCACTATCTACTCTCTGCCAGTAGCAAGTACTGGTCATTTCAGAGAAACTTAGCTGTGAGTACAGAATGTGAAGGAGGAAGCGAGGAATGGAGGGAATAGTCTACTCCTCGATGCTGTGGTTTATAGGAACGTATAATACTGCTTGAGATTTCTTATTTGTTTGACTCAAGTCCTCTGAAATGAGTGGAATAACTCAGAATAGATATAACATACAAATAGTTTGATAAACACCTTGTATATTTAGATGTTTCTTTTCATTATGGGTGAGGTAAATGGGAATAGCAAACTGGTCATTTTTATATTACTTATTTACATATCTTCTTCCTTTTTTAATTCCAGGCTAAATAGGCTTATTCTTTTAAATCTGTTTTCCTGCCACCCCTCTGAACCCTCATCACACATTCTGAGCCTCCAATAATAATTTCATTTCCCTTTCTGTGGATTAGTCTTTATTTCTGCCACTGCTAGACATCTGTCCAAATTTAATATCATTTCAATAAAGCATTTTTTAAACTAATGTTTTTCATTTTAGTCTTGGAATATTTATGTTTTATTAATATTTGGTTTATTGTATGGCTTGTCTAGATTAGGTGGAAGCACATGTGTGAATAGTGTTAGAATATTTGTAACATGTTTTTAATTGATACTTACAGAAGTTGAAGAATCTCTGCCATCAGAAAATGTCACAGGGACAGAGTCAAGTGGTCCATTTGCAGACCAGGATCAACAAATTACTCGAAGCAGTAGCACTTCAGATATTACAGACCAATTTAATTCTGATTTTTTTCAAGGTAACTGTCATGATTTATAAGAGAAATAGTGCATTAAGTTGTCTTGGCATCTCATTAAGCTACACTTGTGAATTGTGAAACAAAAGTTTTATTGCTATTATATGAAAATGTATTGTTGCCATAATATCTGCTCATATAAGCAGTTGTGTACAACATGGCCTGTATTTTCAGTCATTCACTAAGTCATATTTTTCAGCTTTTGAAATTATTTTATTTCTTAACTAATTTCAGTGAAGTGCTTACATACTTCTGTTATAATACTGCCAATTCCTAACCACTTGCTCTGAGATATTTTAATGATACAGGCAAGGGATACTGAACCTCTGGCCCATGGCCCAGATACAGCCCCTGGCACTCATGGGGCTTCCCATGAGGAGGTCCAAGGACCTTGGCCCCAAATGCTATCTATACTGGGTGCACAGGGCCTGATTCTGGACCATGGGGCTGAACAAAGGCAGCCCAGGACTCAGTACTCAGGGCCAGGCAGAGATGGTGTAGAACTAGCTGAGGCCATGTGGGGCCTGATCCAGGCATGTTGGCCCAACCCTGGTGTGTGGGGTCTCATCCAGTCCATGGACTCCACACCACTCATCCAGCTCACAGAGCCAAAGGTTAGGGACAGAAGTTGCACACAAACCAGTTTAAGTGATCAGTAACTGGCTTAAGCCTGTAACAGAACAGAAGTTCAGTGCACATAAACCAGTTTCAAAATGGCCAAAACTGGTTTAAGATAAAACCTGGTTGAATGTAGTATTCAGCTTAACTGATTGAAGTCAAACTGGTTTATGGAACTTCTGTCCCAGACCCCTTCCTGGTTTAAGTTAAATCAGAGTCCCCCTGCATGCTTTTCAGCCTTGGGCTGGGCTGGGCTGGGCTGTGCTGTGCTGTCTGATCCAGAGAGCAGGGCTGGCCCTGCCCATCTGCTTTCTAGCTGGAGCAAGGGTGAGGACAGGATCAGACACCAGCCCAGAATGGCCCCATGAGGTAAAGGGAGCAGGGAGGGGTTTTATTTCCCCCTCCCTCCCCTCTCCCCTCCTGCTCCTTTGGGGGACCTCAGCTGGAGTCTGCCTGACAGTGATGAAGCAGCCCCTGTTGGGGTCTCTCCCCCGTCGCTGCTCCAGCACCAGGGATAGGAGCATGGCCAGACACTGGCCCGGCATGGCCCCCTAAGGCAATGAGTCCCGGGGGGACACTATTTCCCCCTCCATCCCCTCTCCCATGAGGGGACCACAACTGAGGTCTGCCAGCCCCAGGTGCTGCCTCTGCTATTTGCCCCTGGCCAGGCAGACCCTGGCTGGGGTCCCCTGGTGGGAAAGGGAATGGAGGGGGAACAGACCCCCTCCCTGCCCCCTTCACCTCAGGGGGCCATGCCAGGCGGGCGTCTGCCCATGCCGTCACCCCCAGAGCGGCAAGAGGAGAGGGATCCTGACAGGGGCTGCTGCACCCCAGCAAGGCAGACCTGCTGGGTTCCTAGGGAGAGAGGGGAGAATAAACCCCTTCCCTGCCCCCTTCACCTTAGGGAGCCATGGCAGGCCAGCATCTGGCCAGGGGCCAGGTTCTGGCTACGGTCCTTCTCCCTGCCCCTCAAAAGCCTGGCAATGGTTGCTTCCCCCCTCCCCCTCCAGGCACATCCTGGCTGGGGTCCCTGCAGGCTGGGGAGGAGGTTTAAACCCCTACCCAATTATACTCTGGCCTGCCAGGGCCTAGCCGTGCCCCCTCCCTCAGCCCAGCTTCCCTCCGGCCTGGCTGCTGTGGAAGGGAAGGGAGGGCTCGCTCTAGCAGCTCTGCCATCCCACCCCCACTCCCCACCAGCTTCCGGCCTGAGCCACTGTGGGCATAGACTAACCTGCAAAGATTGCGTCAATTCAGGCTTTGGCTTTTTGAATGTCTGTACTTACCCAAAAGGTTGAGCACCACTGATATAGAGGATTGATCAAGTGGAATGCCAGCCATAATGCTTGGTCACTGTGCAAGGAGGTAACCCTTTATCCACCCTATCATCCTGTGGACAAGCAGCACCCGTAGCTGTTCCTCTGGGGACTCCTGCTGCTGCCCTCCCTGCCCTCTGACAGCCCCTCTAGAGGCTGCTCCCCTCGTGTTCTAAGCAGCTCTCTACCACCTGTGGACAAGTAGACTGGCAAACGTGGGACTGTGGAGCTGCACTTTTCAACCTGGCTCATCTGCCCCCTCCCCACTCTAGTAAGGTGGCTTCAGTCATCAGCTTGTGAGACCCTGGAGAAGAAGCCTTAGCAGCAGAGCTTCCCTTGCCTCTCATGTGCAGACTGGAGCCGGGGAGGGGAAAGAGCAGTGAACAGTGGAGTGACGTTATGCACCATTATTCGCAAGAGCACGAGCTAGCTTCTAGCTCAGTGAGTTTCAATGGTGCCACTAAATTCAGAAAAGTTATTGAGGCTAAAAATGTTGAAAACCTCTGGTATAGATGAAGCCATATCTTATAAAAATGTAGATGCAATATCAGTTGTCTGTTTTGGGCAACAGGAGTGCATTTAGCCTACCCCAGGTAGTGTAGCATGTTATTCAGCATCACTGAAAGGTGAAGTCTAAGTAAGTCATGCATGTTTATCATCCTATTTTAAATATTTTTTTAAATTTAATTTGCCTAATTAACATGTTTTTCTTCTTACAGTTAACAAAAGCTATCACTGCATTGTTCTGTACTGGAATAGCATGGTAGTGTTAATTTGAACTCTTGCCAGAGTTAGATGATATGATAGACACACAAGAATACTGTATGTTTTGATATTTCTGCACCTATTGGTGAATTGTAGATACTAACTTGTATGTATCGACTGTACTGCTAATCATCAACCAAGGTGGAGAACAGTTGAGCAGACTTTCTTAGCTACATTTATTAAATGAACACTGAACAATTGTGAGAGATTTGATTCCCTTACTTAACTTATTTGACATCAATGGGTTGTCTGGTGGTATTTTACCTATTTTATGTTTGAAAAAGTATCTTCAGACAGGTTGCTTGAGTGGAAAAATACTAGGAATCTTATATAACCGCTGTATATAATGTTTGTTCTATGGGGAATATTTCATTTTTCACCTCTGACATACCAAAATATTTAACAAGTACTATATTCTCCTTGGCAAACATGTCATTTTTTAGTTAATTTGTAAAAATAAATTTGGTTTAAGATTACATAAAACTACTGCAAATATATATAACTGATGCTTTACTTCCTATTTCCAATATTTAGCATTGTATTTACATTTTGTACATCACATTTAACATTTTATTATAGTCCCATTTCTTCAGTGAGTTGCATTATTTGAGGGGATTCTCTATATACTGTGCACTTGCACCATATAAATGAATTAATAACAATCCTGCAATATAGTATGTCATAGTGGACTACTTCTTCGTAAATCCTAGAAAGATTCTAAAGACTCAAATGTAAAGCATTTATAATTATTTTCCCATTTTCTCCACTTCCTTGAGTGCATGTATTTCTTCTCTGACAAGGTTACTTTTTACAATTTCAATATGTATTCCACAGGGAAAAAGACCGAGAGCACGCAGAATTTAAGTTCTTCAGACTCCAAATCTGTTCAAGAAAATAAGGGATATATGAAGAAAGAACACGAAGCCCAGCACGTAAGGCAGAAGTAGAGAAAGTGGTTATTGACAAGATTCATAAAACATTTGGAAAGAATAACAAAAATGTTAAGCGTTTGTCGATTCTATTCACGATATAGAAATTGGAATTAAACTTCTAGCTGTTAAATATATGAACTACCTTATTTACTTGAATCTAAGACAAGTTTTTTACCCTCCAGTCAGTGGCGGGGGCTTATCTTAGAGTTGCATACAAAGTCTGAGGTTGGGGCTGGTGGCTGCTGTGGCTCTAACTCTGATCTGGAGCCTGGGTCAGGGTCAGAGTCATACCCACAGCAGCTCCTGGCCCCTCACTCTTTCTTGTCAGTTACCCTCTTCAGCTTCTTTATGTACATAAAGTGTACATGTACATGAGTGCATAAAATATAAACAATCAGTTCATAACTCTCTTTATAAATAATTTATATTAGTTACATAGTACCAGAATAAATATCTGATGATTTGTGAAGTGCTGAGAGAAATGCTTCCCTCAGCACACTTTGCACACTCAGCTCTGCATTTCAGAACTTTTTGTATGTCAGCATTCTGATGCACAGACTTTTTAAATGTTAATGCTACTTTTGAATAAACAGCACAAATAAATTGCAAATATTGGAGAGATTTAGGGAACAGCTAGTGCAGTGCAATGTGAAAGGCTTCAGTTTGAATCCCTAGTTCTTCTCTGGTTGCCTGGCTTCACTTTGCAGTGACTTCTTTAGCCATTCAGGAATAAATCCCAAGTACTTTGAAGGGAGGTAGATCCAGACCTGTGTGAAACAATGACCAGCAAATTGGGAGGCTGAGGATGAGGGAGTGGCTTGTGTTGCAAAACACTGACTATTAATTAACGATGCTGTTATCAGTTTCATATTCCTCACCCTTTTTTTTTTGCAAACTGAAAATGAACTTTGTGCCATTTTTGTTGCATATTATATGAACCAGTGCTGAACTCGACATTTTTTGTTTGCCAGATTTTTCTGACTATTCCTTACCCTGGAATCAATTTGATGGGAAAAATAAAACTGAATATAGTTTTCCAAAAAGTTCAGATAGCTGCATTATACTCAGACATTATTTTGATTCCATTCACTCCAAAACTAGTTCTAGCCACAAGTTTTTGAAAGACAGTCCAGGGAAATGCTATCTTGTCTGTCCTGAGTGTGGATGTACTTTGATTTCCTAAGCCTGTGTAGGGGAAAAAAGCATTTATAAGGCTTAGCCAATGGATCAGGTACTGTTACATTCTTCTAATATTTGGTTTATTTCCTTTTTAAAAATTAAGATAACTCATTGCAAATATAAAACAAAAATAATAAAAAACCCTGCATTAATACTTTTTAAAATTAGACTTCAACATCTACATAATCTAGGAAATTTAGAGCTAAAGTTCCCCTGGCAACTAACTCTTCCATCCTTCTTCTATCCCATAAACATGGAGTTTTATTTCTCTTCATTTAATTAATAATAATGAGCAAACTGACATACTATTTTGCCAATAGTTAATTCTTTTTTTTCTTTTCTTTTTTATTTCCTTATTTTTAAACACATAAAGACTATATGGACAGTTGGTCCACCATATTTAAAACCAAAGGTCGATGGTGAGGGCCAGGGGTATATCATATTAGAATAGAAAATTACCTGAAGATGGCATCAGTGCCTAGCTTTTGAATGCTTTGGATCAAAGCAGAATCTGGAAAATGTCAATATTTTTGGAAATTATATACTAATAAGTGCTGCTTATTGACTGTGATGTTTCTGATACAAGACATTGGCATTATTATTACAGGGCGTGTGTGAGACTTTAGATATTGATCCATGATGATCCTTGTTACCATCCATTGGGTTGACTTCATTGCCATAACTGGGAGGGACTTTTGTAAAAACATACCCTTCAGAAGTACCCTTCAGATTTTCAGAAAAGGTGTGTGAAAGACAGGCAAAGGTTTCAATAGGTGCCCCAAACACACTGAGTAATAGAAACATGGGATGAAGTTTTAAGACAACCCTATTTATATTATTCATTACTGTAGGTAAGTTTAAAGGTAGGGGAAAGTTTATAAGAAAATGAGTATAGGAACAAAACACATGCTAGAGTCCTTACCCTTGGCACTTTGAGGAAATTGCGAAGTTCAGTACTTGCCTATAAATATCCTGACTAGGTTGTAATTAATCTACAGTAATATTTGTGTTTAAAATGATTTGCATCTTCATAAATGAAATCCTAATAGAATATAAAGCAGTTTTCAAATTAATAATAAGTTGAAAAGAATACAATTTGCTACTGTGTTCTCTGAAGGTTGTAGTGCGAAGGAGCAGCAGTCCAGCTGAATTGGATTTGAAAACAGACCTGCAGTCTCACAGAAGTCCCAGGGAAAGAGAAAAGAGTGAGTTTTAGGATATTAGATACTTTACTAACGGAGTAGTAATTTGTGATGACATGGTAATTTGACTAATCAAAGATGCAGTACTGTTTACTGATTTTACAGTATATTTCTTGTAGTGCATGTGTCTTACAAATCCCTGCTTACCTTAGGTGAAAGTTTTAGTAGTGACACATCCTTTGGCTACAATAATGACGTAGACATCACACTGCTTCCCTGGCAAACATGTGAAGAAGACCATGAAGTTAATACAACCACAGATGTTTGTGCTGATCCAGATGTACGTCATTGGCTGCAGCTTAGTCCTTCAGATGCTGCAAATTTAACAGGTACTTAATGTTCAGTAAAAAGTAATTAATTGATCATGTATTTTTATGTCTACAATGGAAATATATCTGATAGAAATTATACTACTCAACATGCTTATACGCTCTTCTGTAAAACAGTATTTATTTTTAAAGTAGATGAGAATGTCTGACATGAAATTTAAGCCTAGTGTCAAAGTTCTTTTTTTTTTAATTTAAAATATTTTACCTATTTATAATGTCTCATTTTTAAGCTTGAAATTATACTAATGGTACCTTGTATACAGTACTAGTACTGATGAGGAGAGATGTTAACCTCTTTTCAAAGAATGTACGTTACAGTTCATCACAGTATATCTGATTCCCAAGACTAGACATAACACCTTTCAAAAAAAATGAAAAGCAATGTCACTAACCCAGCAAATATAGAGAGCAGGTAATGAAATGGGAGTCAAAGGGGAAAAAAAAAAAGAGAATAGAAGAAATGTCAGTATGGGCGACTGGTACCTTCTGGCTCTGGGGGAGCATCAACTGCCGATTGCCGACACAGGGGGTGTCCCCCAGTATCCAGTCGCCAGGAGGAGGGCCAGTGGCAAACCAGAAATGCCACCAGCACTTCTCAGGGGGGACACTGACTGGTGCTTCCCACTCCCTGGCTGGCGAGGGCCAATTTTAGTGGGGACACATGCTCCCCATGTCCACCCTATGTGTCGCCTATGAATGTCAGACAATACTAATAAATAATAGAGAATAGCTACTTTCCAGGTTCTTTGTGACACTCTGAGGTCCCCTCTACACACTATAGGTACCGCACAATTATCTGGAGACCACCTACGTTACACAATTAACTGGAGACCAGTGCAAAGTATCTATCACATGATAAAAAGCCCCAACCAGCTATAAAGAAAATATGTACTAACTTTATAGCTGGTTCCTACTGAGCCTTAATTTGCATGTGTAACATGGTCTCCCCTACTGCTGGGAGCCCCATCAGCTGACAGGGCTCCCAGCCACACAGGTGCATGGTGGCCAGAGTGAAACCCCCAAACCATAGGGATTGTAGCAGCCAGGATCCCCAGGGTCCGAGAGCACACAGAACCCTTGGACTTAGGGGATGGTGGCTGCCATCATCCCTAGGGCTTGGGGGGAGGAGGGGTGTGAAACCCCTGGACCTGGGGGGTGGTGGCTGTTGTGACCCCTATGGCTCTGGGATGCTGGAAACCCCTGGGGAAGAGAATCACTGTAAGGCAAACCCTAGGAGTTTGGGTTGCGGAAAATCCCCTGGGCTGGAGGTTCACTGCAGGGGAACCCTGCACTCTGGGGGTGCAGGAAACCCCTGGGGCTGGAGGATCTCAGTGATCCTCTGGCCCTGGGGGTTTCCCCATGCACCCAGGGTAGGCAAATCACCCTGCAGGAATCCTCTGGCCCCAGGGGTTTCCCCACATGCCAAGGATGGGGCATAGGCCCTGTGGTTATCCTCTGGCTCCAGGGGGTTCCCCACACCCCAGGGGTGGGATGGGATCGCTGCAACAGAGATCCTTTAGCCCTAGGGGTGTGTAGGACACCTCTGTGGCTGGGCACCCCTCAACTGGGGTGTGTGGAGCTCCCAGCTGTGGGATCCTGCTTCTTGGTAGTGCAGGGGAAGCTCGATCCTGGGCTCCCCCTGCACTGGCAATAAGGTGTGATGGGATCTAATGTACAATCCCACATATGCATCTCCTGCCATGTACATGTGGCATGGCAGGAGGTGCAATTGTGTGAATTGCTCATTAGATCCCATTGCGCCTTTATCTGCATATGTAGAGGGCCTGATTATCTTTTACTTTGAGCTATGGTAGCAATTAACTAGATAATTTATCAAGAGAGAATTCAGGAATAGAAAATGTTTTCTCCTCTGAATCAGGTGGAGTTATCAGAAATGATGTTATATTTTTGTTACTCTTCCTGAATATGTATTTAGAAATGAAGGAAGAGTGAGTAGGGCTGAGGAAGAGAGACAGCACTGTAGGTCTGGATTGTTGTTGTAATTGTGGTGTTCCAGGAACTATACGACAGACGAGGATTTTTTGTAATGGCCTCTATGAGCGCATCCAGATGAGTGTGCATGTGCAGGGGCACACATTTTCCATGGGACAAATAGCAGTGGCACATATTGACCCGGGTGGGGTAGGAGAAGTTGAGGCCAGCACCTGTACTGGCCCCAGCAGCCTTACTTGGGGTCCTGGGGGCCTCCTGGGGCAGCAGCTGCACTGATCTCACTGTTTGGAGTCAGGCCTGTAGCCAGAGCATGGCTCTGGCTGGCCAGGCTCCATTTCGGGTGGCACATACTGGTGCCACGTGTGCCATGCCACTTTTTTTAGCGGTGCTTTTTTTAACACAGAGATCTCCCATTGTCAAATTTTGGCACTGAGCTGTAAATTAGGAGTGCAGTGCCACAAACCACATGTGCATGCTCGTCTGGACGCGGGTTATGTACAGTTGGCAAAACTAATGGGCAAGTTTTCAGGCATCCAGAGCCCATTCTCAAATCTAAACCTAAGGTCTAAGCTTAGATCTGAGGAAGGGCACCTGATGCCCAAAACCTTGTATAACAGCTCACCGAACTATACATTAGTCCAGTAAAACATAACGCAAAAAACGCCATTTCCCAGAAAGTATTGTTTGAAAGCTAAGAAACTCTGTCTACTTGACTTAAAACTGGCACTAGCATGTATGAAACTTGATACTGTTTAGAAGGGGTATTTTGTACTTGGTGTGCAAACTGAGTTTATAGATAATAATCCATGAGTTTTGATGGTCCATGTTAATACACAGTTGAAAAAATCTCTCTATGAATTCTCCATACTAAATTTTTATAAGGTAATAATATTTTGATCTTGCATTTAGACAGTGGTTAAATGATTAATAGTATTGTTATTTGGGGTGGGATTTTCAGAAATGCCTGAGTGATAAGAGCATTGTGTTTCAAATTTCAAAATTTCAAATTTCTTGGAGCTTTTCTAGCCAGGGACACTCAAGTGGATTATTTGAATTAACTAAAGGTGAAAGTGGATTTGATAAACCACCTTAAATCCCTGTTTGAACACACTTGACATTAATAGCCTTAATTTGATTTAGCTTAACTTTTCTAATTTTTACTCTGCAGACAAAAGCTCAGGCACTTTAGAAAATCTAGCTGTTTATCTCTTTCAGTTTGCCAGCTATTTAAATTTCAGATATGCAAAGGAGCACCTAATTAAAAATATTTAACTAAAGTTGTTTTTATCTCTTTTAATTTAAATGTGTGGCTTTTGTCTTAGCTTGTTCTTTTTTTGAATATGTAGCTTAAGCCGAGAAGGGATGTAGAATAATAACAATTCTATATTGGAAAAATGTTTAGAGGAGCATTATGCAATCTTTTCAAATTATTTTCCTCAGAATTATCATTTAAAAAAAATCAATTGCACATAACATGTACATGGGACACCCTGGTCTGGGGAATAGGCAGGAGGGATTCTGCTGCTGTTCCCTTTCCTCCATCTGGTCCAGGAGGGGAGGGAGTAATGGGGTAATGCTGCCGATTATTTCCCTGCTGCTCAACTCCAGTCCCCAGGGACTGGGAGGGCTGGAGCAGCCCTTGCTCCCCATGCCTTCCCCAGACTGGAATCACTTCTGTTTGGGGAATGTGCAGGGGGCAGGGCAAAGGAGGCAGTGGCAGGCTGAATGCCTGTACTGTTCTTTTTCCCATAATGGCAAAGGAGGCAGTTGTAAGCTGAATGCCTGTACTGTTCCTTTTCCTGGAAGGATTTCTGTTAAATTTCTGGGAAATTTCCACAGCTAAAAATGAACACCTGTATTCTAGACTTTATTAGAGGCTATTATATTAATTTCCCATTAATACAGTCTCTATAAAGACAGCAATAATATAGTCCCTTTCAGATTTGCATCTGCTAAGACCTGGTATGCACTCAAGGATTTGCAACTAGAAAGATTACTAGAAAAAGTTCTGAGCATCTCTGATAGTTGTCTTTTTTTATAAAAATATGAATGAAACAGTGGTTAATTTGTATATCATCTGGTATGGCATAAAAGGAAAAAAGGTATGGCAAGTAACTGTACAAATCTGTTTCCAAAGATGTCAAAGAATATAGGAGTTTTGATTTTATTGTTTTGATTTCCCATCTATTGTGCTTGTTCAAATAGAAACATCATTACCACTTTCACAGATCACAGTTACTGAAGATTAGAAAGATACTATATTTTTTTAAAATTATGTCATGGTTCTTTTTTCCCTGCATGTACCTTCTGCAGTTTTTTCCCCTCAAGATTATTTTCCCAGGTTTAACCCTTTGGAGTCTTTACTTCCAAGCATTTTGTATTAATGATGAATAAGAAATGGGAATCACAGGCTCCTGTTATTGAGAGAGATTTACAAAGTCAGGCTGCAGGGGATGATTAATTGCAGTTTAGTATTTATACTCTTTTACAATCCATGCATGTTTCATATCCTTGCTCCACTAAAGTTGGTAGCAATAGTTGTATTGACTTCAGTGGGATAGATTTACCTCTTATCTATTGATGTTTTTGGAGAGTACTGTGCATGTGCTCTAATGTTATGGAAGTCTCTGATGTCTTTTGGAGATGCGTTAGAATATGTGCTTAATAAAAGTAACACCTTCAGGAAGCCATCTCCAAGTAATTTATATTTTCATTTTAATTATTATAATTTTGACATATTGGGATATATCATTTATGATTATTTATTGTATCCTTTTCATTCTTTGTAAAGGTTCCTTTTTATCTAATACTTATAAGTCGTTGATGTTAATAGCAATCTGGTAAAATAAGATTTTCTGGTAGACTAATTTCTATGGAAAACTATATTGTTTCAGGGATATCTATTCCATATATTCAGTTCTTCTTTTAAACTCTACTTATGCAATGAATCAATGCAACCAGTTCAGTAGTTCAGGTTGTCATCTGTACAAAAGGGAGATTGTAATATAATATGTGTCAGGGATTATTAGGTGGCAAATTGGTAGCTT